TTATGAGTCTGCAACTTCTCATTGGAATTGCTCAACTAGCCTGTCATTTCTTGCACAACGCAGCACAGAGGCTTAGCTAATACGCACTACTAGCATACGATTTGGGGTCCTCGATTCCTAATGAGTTGGTGAGATGCAAATTACGCCAATCACAGTGGACAGACGGACAAGCCTGGCTCACGTGCACATCTAACACGCACCCATCCATCTCAAAGGGAAAAGTGAATATTCCAAGTCAATGGATAAAAAGTTAATTTTTAGGCGTCTTGATGACTACACACCTATTTGAAGAAAGGGTGCAACTTCCTTAGTTTGCGGGTTCAGGTGAGCTATTGACGTCCAATAAAATCAAAATATCGTTAAGAGGTGGGTGGTTAATAACAAACTGACTGACCTCTCGTAGTGCTTTCCCTACACAACGTTATTTTTAAACGTTTATTGTTTTTGCGTTATATCCTGAATTTGACGTCTACTTAGTGCTAGTCCCCAGGAAGCACAAAAACTACATGAACAGTATGATTTATCAGTTAAGGGCGGACTGATAGGAATCCATTGAACATCTAAACTGGAAGTGGATAGATTTATCGCCTAGCTGGATTCAGTTTGTCACTTGCTTCGCCAAACGAGGTTGTAGCTTTACAACAACATTGAGGTTGCGTTGACAGTCAGACAAATGGCCGTCAGAAGGGCTGACAAGCATTCCCATTTTGTATGCTTGAGATGAGGTCATCACTATCTCTTACGTCATTCTGGCGCATAAAAGCGTTGGTTTTAGTGATAAACCACGAACTATCGACTTGAAATTTTCTCCTATATGGAGCCGAAGGTGTGTATGCACACGAATTTCCGGGCCTCCGTGCTTTGGTTCAAGTCAGCACTATAGAATGGTCTCTTGCAAAACTTTTGATGAAGAACTCCGTGGTTCTTCAGGCGAGACCTGTGGCTAGATCACAGAAATTCGGTGTACATGCCCACGCAACAGGAAGATAAGCCTGAATGCCTTTATTACGCAGCGGGCAATGCTTATCCTCTCACCTTCCTCTGAATGACGAAAAGTGCGTCCATATGTCATTTGGAGAAGACTCAGCGATTGCCTTTGTCATGTATGGTGAAAGAGGGCCAGAAAACATGATGATAGACGCCGAAAAGAACATGGTTATCTGACTGCCCTTAAACATGTCCTTCTCACCGAACCATGAGAAATAGTATCGAAAGGCATTCGCCGTTCTACGGATGATTCGGCGCACCTTCTCCCGTATTACTCACATAGACTTCCAAATACCTTATGATGCCTACGGCAGACGGCCCCTTGAATATACTAACCAAGTTGCCTACTCGGGACATAACACTCCGTGAGCGTGTTCAGCGAGCCGCTACAAAATTTGTTGCAAGCATTGAATCTGCGGTCTGCGAAACGCGAGTCGCCGTGTTTGACTTATTTCCACTGAAGCATCGTCGCCTCCGAGGATATCTAATTCTCACTTATGCGCTGTTTAAACAAGGCTTTGCTGACAGGTTTTTCACCCTTTGCATAGCAAACACACGACGAGGATATGGTTAGAAGATTTTTAAACTCATATCGCACACTTTCGTGAGCAGTTTTTTTCTCATTTCGAGTGGTAGCCGCATGGAAAAACTTCCCTCCGACGGTTGTCCACGCTCCCTCTAAAACCGGTTCAAAGCCACTATCAAACACTTATTTATGTACTCACATAGACTTCCAAATACCTTATGATGCCTACGGCAGACGGCCCCTTGAATATACTAACCAAGTTGCCTACTCGGGACATAACACTCCGTGAGCGTGTTCAGCGAGCCGCTACAAAATTTGTTGCAAGCATTGAATCTGCGGTCTGCGAAACGCGAGTCGCCGTGTTTGACTTATTTCCACTGAAGCATCGTCGCCTCCGAGGATATCTAATTCTCACTTATGCGCTGTTTAAACAAGGCTTTGCTGACAGGTTTTTCACCCTTTGCATAGCAAACACACGACGAGGATATGGTTAGAAGATTTTTAAACTCATATCGCACACTTTCGTGAGCAGTTTTTTTCTCATTTCGAGTGGTAGCCGCATGGAAAAACTTCCCTCCGACGGTTGTCCACGCTCCCTCTAAAACCCGGTTCAAAGCACTATCAAACACTTATTTATGCGAAACTTCGCGCTAGCAAGCATACTGCCCCTCGACGAGAATTCAAAGAGCGATGCCACACACTTTTTGCTTGTGCCTTTTGGGTGAACAACCAGGCACTGAACGACAAAAATAAAACCCACTCGGGAAACTCGGGCGGAGTACTTGTTCATGTGTTAATCCGTGAAAGGAAAACAGTCGATGAAATGCAACAAGCGGCCTTTTGGACCTCGGTGGCCACTGAGACCAGTTGGTGGGTTAAAAGCTCGAAAAACCGAATTCGGCTTCCGGACACCACTATCTTTGTTGGTCTACTATCCATAAGCATCCAGGGAATGTCCCCTGTCACAGAGGTTGAACGTCGGTGCATCCCGCTTCCCTCTAATCAACCCACTCCTTAGCGACGTCTATTGCTATCCCGGGTTCCAGCACCTGAGGCTTGTCCACCTATGTTTTAACTGCTTCCATTGGCCACGGAAATGTGGCGCCTTGGGAACAATTGTTAGGGTTAGTCATTGCTCCAGTGGGTCGCAATCACGCCACAGAATTTTGGCCGATGCGTAAGTGACCCAAGATAAATATATTTACTGACATTTCTTGCTGCTCGAAATGGAATGGTCCAATAAAACCAGGGCAGATGGATACAAGGGAGCCACAGCGCCTAGCGGAACGGGAGCATGCAGTTACCAGCCAGGATTCCAACCGCGCAGTTAGGGTTTGCACCAGAAATAATTGATTAGTGAACACACACTCACCTCAGCTTGTTTGTTCTAGTGTACCCCCCGGGGTCGTGACCACAAATACCTCAGAGCAGGGAAGGTGCATACATATTCATTCGACAGACCATATTTGGAACGCAGTCATCGCCCTCCAGGATTTCAATACGGTCAAAATTATGTGAATTTGCCATATCATGCTACCAACTAAGCCACTAAGCGGTTCAAGGCACCTTGTGCTTGAGACTGTCAGAGTGGCGAACCTCGACTTTTCGAGAAAACGCTGACTACCTCCAGAAGATTTTTGGTCTCACTGCAAAATGAACTATCCTGAATTGTAGGTGCATATTTCACTTGCGGGTGATGCACAGCCGTGGGGTACGCGATGCATCATGGAAGGGCGCAGTGCACCACTTGCAGATCAAAACGGAATCTGCGTGGTAAAATATTGCAGAAAGAAAACCTAGTTTTCAGTACCGCACACATGTTATATGTAGTGGGATATATGGGCGGTTGACAGGAAGCTACTGCAACCCAAATACACGGTTGTTTTATGTAACGAGCGTGCATTACAACAGCTTTACGATTAAGGAAGTAACACATGACATCACAGCCGAACACGATTCTGACCGCCGACTCACCCGAGTTGGTCCATCACGTGTGTTACATTGACATTTAAGACATCTGGGAAGCCTAGGAATGGCGTTGTTGGATGCCATCTGGTGAAGCATATGTGGCCGCACTACCGTCTGACCGACTGCAATGAGAGTACTCATTTGGAATCGCGAAAAGTTTCCAGGACCGGAGGCACATCACCCGCATATTGGGAACAAACAACCGGTTACTTACTCAAAGGAGCTGGTTGAGGCTTCTGGTGGTATTTGTAGATGTCCTCAGTTGTAAGGAACCTGCCGAATCCATTGGCCACAAAACGCCGCGTTCCATATTTCAGCAAGGTTCCTGGATGCCCAACTCTTCGTTGACCAGCCGTCGGTAATATAAAGCGGGCTGCACAAAAACATATTCACACCATGATCATGCTCGAGATGGTAAGTGAAGACTGGTAGATGGTGTCCATGCCTCTCAGACAAAAGTGAATTGGGAAACAGGTGAATGACGTAACGTTCGTCGTTAGCAGATTCCATGAACTTACCAGCTTTTTCTGATCCCTCGAAATTAGGTTTCATTTGGGGGTGCCTGTCACATTTTTACTGCATCCACTCGTAGCGCAAAACAGTGATTTTGTCAGCTGTTCGCAGAAGTAACATATAGTTACCCTCATACATTCATCTAAAGTTTCATCAGATGGCATGTAGGATTGAAACCGGGAATCCGCCAACTTATCAACAAAGACTTAAGCCAAGGGCACAACTTGATAGGGTTGTGGTACCCACTAGTCACACAATGGTGTTGGCTGTGGAGTGAAATTTCTTGCGACAAAATGTTACAATTTGTTGTGAATGTGCTGAAACCAAAAACCATCCTAATCTACGTTCATATTTTTGCAGCTCACCAAATTTCATTGTCCACTCAAACAAGCATACCTCAGACGGGAAAGTCTGCTGGAAAATTTCCCACCATCGCTGAAACCCCGAGATGCCTGAATGGAGCTCAAAGTTTGGACTGGTACTCCGAACTCAAATGCACGACTGCTTTAATCCATATGGACGCTTCAGAGCTTTGAAAAGTCGATTCAATGGTGCAAATACTGAGAGCCATAGTTCGTAGCAGTTCGCTTTTAGAGTTGGATGCGCGTCAGAACGTACGAGGGATTATTACTTAAAACAAATTCCAACAAAAGTGAGAGTCTGGGGTGTTTTTAGTCTGGACATACATACAGAAGAATGCAACATTTTAACGAAAAAAGTTCCCTTCGGCACACCAAAATTTCATACACCGCATGAGGGTCACTTTCATGAGACACACTCAGATGACAATATTTGATATACGCAACGAAAACGGTAAAGCGAAAAGCGCAATTAGCAAGCACTGACCAGGGTTACAATATGCGCGACAAAACTATTACTTTGAATGCCTATAACATTTGCTGTTCATAAAATTTTTGAATGAGTGAACGTGGGGTTGAGGTGAGATTTCAGTTTTGATGACCTTGACTTGAGTGAATTTTTAAAAGTGTCATTTGTTTCCAATTCAATGGATGTTGCGGGTGCGCCGTCTGCTGCCAGCTGCCATTCGGACCGATATACCCGACCCGAACTCGAGTTCCTGCTGAAAGAAGTTCTACGTTACCCGAACATCGTAGAATCACCAAATAGTCATTCGGAAACGAAACACAGAAAGACGTTGTTTTGGCAAAACGTGGCAAGGAAACTCCGCCAAGAAGCACCCAACGAAACACCAAAAAGCGCCCTCCAGCTCAGAAATTGGTGGAAGCGGACAAAGAGCCGTGCGAAGCAGCGCTTGGCCGTGAGTTCTTCCCTTAACCGTCAAGGTGGCCCGATTTCACCGTCGGGGACAAAAAATTTAGGTGGTAATCGTGGTTATTTGGAAAGGATCTTCATGGAAATCTGCCAGTTTAGACAAGATGTTGCAACCTCGTACACCCCAGAGAAGGAAGATGCTGAATACGCCAAGTTTATGGAGGAAAGACGGTCGACCCGTACCATCACAATTTCTTCGAAAACTTTTAACGTGGAAGACCGTCAGAAGCCCGCTGATGGTGTCTCTGGAAATGAGCAGTCAGTCTGTGATAGCGGAGATGGAGCCACTGCTATGAGTGATTTCTCCGAAGACCGAAGTTGGGCAACAACGGACTCAAATGCAAAAATGGACTCGGATAATGTCAACTGTTCCGAATTAGAAAATTCTGGATGTCATGTCTCGTTTCCTCAGCCTCAGGTATTTGTGCACCCTCCAGTAATTCCTCATTTTGACTTAACGAACCAGCCCAAAACATTTGAACGAATGAATCACACGCAAATTGATATGGAAAGTGACACCATGTTTTCTCTGTTATCAAAATATGCTCAACTCCTTTCCAGAGAGCTTATGTCTCTAGGAATCCCCATTCCATCAGTCCCTTCTGCTGAAGTTTCGTTACCTGACAAGGATCAAACAGATCTGGCTGCATCTCAGGTGAGGAGGGACTGGTGGAGTATGAATACCAATTCTGGATATTTAACAAAGGATTTGGGTGATATCATTGGCATGAACAAAGCAAATTTGACTTATGATGAAACGAACTTTAAAAATGCGGGACACATTCAAAATGAGCCAAACCAAATGAACTCCCAGATCCCTAAAAACGAAATGAAGTTAAAAGAAGAACTATTCTTCATTGAGCAAACTATTTTGAAACTAAAGCACAGGAAACTGCAATTAGAACTACAGTTGTTTCGACATAACACTAACTTACCAACATGCCTTGATGCCCACAATTTTGATACTTCACTGGATGAGTTTTGGTCAAATAATTGATTATACTGTTTAATCTCTTTCTTGTTACCATTTCTTCCAATAATAATTTACATGTTTTCTATCCCTTTGGAATTCGTTTAAAACTCTGGGAGCAATTATGGAAGTGAGTGAGACATGCCGTAGCTGTCAGTGAAACAGGACAAAAGCCGATAAAACATGAGCTCAGTTCTCTTGGCACGGAACCTCATATTTTGAAACATGATTCAGCCTGTCAGTTTTATAGCACTTTATGAGAAATCACCATCGATTCAACCGAACCTCATTTACCTACGAAGGACTGTCTTAGAATACGAATATCAAACCTTTAAAAGACGTTTGGCATAAAATTTGCTTCCCTGGTTTATGGAGCGTTGATGCATATTTGTGCGAATATACTGGCTTAGAAGTGCTTGCGTATCCTAGGCGCACTTTTAAACGTTTACTTTAATAATATCCTCAACGTTTTGTGTGCCTCTAGTCGTTTATAGGCCACAATTCTCCTAGCATAAAAATAAATAAACCATATGTATTAAAAATATATGTTTGGTGAGCTTTTCACTGAAATCGTATGGTGAAAGCAGGAAGCACATCAGCTATAGTACTGTACGTTTACAATACAAATCACGGAATAAATATCGCGAGGGATTATCTCTTGTTTTTTAAAGTTCAATGATATAGGTAAAAAACGACCGACCAACCATCCACAAAGGTTTTTGGTTATATGTTCATGTTAAATAATATTTTTTGGTGAGTCAACACTCATGTCAAATTAAGTCCTGCCTGGGAAATAGCGATATTCTACACAGACGTGACCTATGCAAAAGGTAAAAAACACCAATCTTGTGTTTTCCCCTCGTTGCTATTTTCACACATTGAAGAATCCCGTGAGCAGATTAACATGAATATGTGGCAACAGTAAACACGCACAACATTACTGTTGGTGCTGAAAAGGACACGGATGATTATTAAATTGAAAGCTCTACCTCTGTGTGCATAGTATATAGGGTTTTAGATTTTGAAGTGTTAACGATAACACAAACTCCACGGACATTCCTACGGCAAAGTTAATCACAACCACCAATAAATAACTCTATCGTTTGTAAGCTTTTTTGAATAACCAGACCAGTTTAGAACACAAAACGCATGTTGTGGCTGGTTTGTAATTCCATTTTTCTTTATTTGGATTTTTACGTCCTCCAAACTTAAGGGAGCAATTTTTAGAAATTTCGTCCGAGGAAAGCTTCCGTAAATAAAGAATTTTTACCAGTGCCGGTATCAAAAAGATTTTGCAAAGAATTCTTTGCTTAAACCTTTGAAAAAAGAGTCATTAGTCTAAAATTTTTTGAAAAGTGCTTTGAATGATTATACTGTCAATCTAACGGATTAAACACTTCCTGTTTATAAATAAAAGCAGAATAATTATTAGAGCCAATAATTGCGCAAGTAAAACAGTAAGTGCTTTTACGTTTGTCACTATCGGGGACCTTTGTGGCACGTTATCAGACAGTCTTCAAATAAAAATAGTTTTAGAAACATAAATGATGTGATCAAATTTTGTTACATCTGCATCTTAATTTCCAACCAAACCGAGCAGCTCAAAAATGAAAACCACGGTCATTATTTCAGTCAGTTTCAGTTATTCCAGTTATTTCAGTTTGTTTGTAAAAGTTAGTTAGTTTAGTTAGTCACTTAGTTTGTAAAAGGCGTTTTGGCAATAAAACATTATATGAAATCATTATATTCTATCTGAAGGGGTAAATATTAACGTCTGCCTGTTAATGATAAATGTTTTGAAAAAATAGGCTTGCAAGTGCTGACCTGTAACTTGTAATTTATCCGGCTGAAAATTTCTACAAACTTCACAGAATCCCTACAACGATCGCCTCACTTTACATAGATGTTTTTGTTGAAATGCAAAAGTTCAGCTAAATTTGATTCAAAACATCACATATTAATACCGAAATCCATGAAATTTTCTTATGAAATATTTAACGATTTGGCGTTTGGCCGCTGACGTGTTACTTTTCAAATAGCTAATGCGTGCTAATGTGTGCTAGTGTGCTAATGTGTGCACAACCTTTCAAAATTCGCACATCTCGAATTTGTTTAGGCTATCAGTCAGGGGCTACAGCAAGAAATTTGATGGGGACTAGGGCTGCTGATGTTGTTTTTTGCTCAAAAATCGGCAACAGCTTATTTCTCTAACGCAATTTTTCAATAGTTTTGGAACAAAGAGGGCGACAAGTGATGCACAATAGCCGTTGATCTCGTTTGCGAGTGGGTGGTTGCTTCTACACAGGTGTTTTAGCTCAGAGAGCAAACCAGACAATCTGAACCACTTTGGGCAAAAAATACATGCTCAGTATCTAGGTAATTGGCACTGTTCATCAATGTCCCACTGAACAAAGTGAATGTGATGAAGATTTTATTTAAACAGAAAAGTTATTTTAAGATGTGGTAACCAGCTGTTCTTTTTGCCGAGGAAATTTTGAACCAATATTTCCAAACTACTGCTTGTTGATCCAACCCACATCTCTAGTATATTCTGGGTGGTTGTTCGACAGGGAATATTAGTTCCCAACAATGCCAACTGTTCAATATCATTTTCGCATAGGTTTTTTAGATGCAGAAAGTGCTTATCACCGAGAGTTTCTCACAAAATGGTAGACGTTTAGCACATAAATCCTATTATCCTAAAGGTGTAGTGACACAATTGAAGGATTCTTCGCAAATAAGAGGTCTGTAAAATGACACAAATTATTTTACTGATTGAATCACGATTACAGGCGTCTGATTTTCACCAAGCCAAAATTTAACCCAAATAAAATGTTCTTCAGACGACGAATTCACTGTGAATTTGAAGGATTCCCTGCATATGGGTTAAGTAACACCGTCGCATTTCTCACTGAATCAAGGGTAGCTAAAGTGTTTTGTGTGAAATTTAATGCTCTGTGCAGCCTTCATTTTTACTTTAACTTCACAATCGGCAACCCAAAAACGCATAATCAGTGGGTCTACTACATAAGTATTGAAATATGCGTTCATAAACGTTTGGTTAGAAGTGGATGAATCGCCCCTAAGCATCTGATCAACCTCCTAGTAGATAACCAGCGCACTGACTAATCGTACCCATCTGATTGCAGGGGAGATTACTCTCCTAACGAATAATTTAGCGGTTTTGGGGAGTGAAAAATTTGGAGATCCCAACCACTCCGTTTTTGGCCAAGTCCATCCTGCTTATAAAATACCTATCACTCATCATTAAAAATATTGTGCTGATTTCTTTTGTATTCGTATATCACCAGGTCTTCTCTGCTAGTTACGGGGAGTTGGTGATCAGGCATGTGTTGGCACTGTAAATTGCGATTAATCCTATTAAGTTTACTGAAATACGGCATTGCTAACAATACGCTATAGAGCTAAAATGATCTTTTTGAAACTTGTGTGCGTGCAAGAGTAGCCGTGCCTGTTTTCATTGCTCTTTGCCAGGGTTGCAAACGTTGCATTAACGGCTCCAAACACGTTCCTAGGACCAGAATTTTATATGAGCCCATAACACCCAGGGGATTGAGTTGCTGTAATAATTCTCTGTTTTCCATCACAGAACAGGTCATACTATAGCTAACCATCTAACAAAGGGTGGAGGAGAAACGAGAACGGGAAGGGTGAAAAAGCCGTCACAGTATCACACGTTCCGGTCTTTTCTGAAATGAAGTAAAACTGCTCAGCCCAAATACCTTTATATTGTTTACCAGAAGTCGATCACGCCAAGGCGCAGAAATTTTTCACCAAACTTATAGGTTTCGCATCGTTCATTTATCCCTTACCGTTCTAGAGCTGTTGATGCTAAGAAGCGACCCATATCTAGGAGGTACCGTGGCTCTTGTTGCGCAGTTCAGCGTTAGTAAATCCACCTTATTTGTGCTATCTAGTGCTCAAATTATGATACGTTCCTCTTGCAAATTTATTGTTTGAGATAACAACGAGTAAAAGATCAGGTTCCATTCGAATCTGGTCTAAGGGCGCACAAATGTCGGTCAAAATGATGCTGGCGGGTTCAAACAGCGGAGAAAAGTTTCTCTTGAATGCTTCACGTTTCTGTGAAGTAATGAGGTGGCACCACAATGACTCAAGTTATCAAGCCGTTCCAATTATCTAGTTTTTTGCATGGTCTTCATGAATGACAAGGTCAGAAACGTCTGCAATGAATTTGCACGAGGTGATTATCCCTGCGTCGTCATTGTTTATATCGACGCACCCATAAGAATCAGATGTTCTCAACCAGTTATGAAATAAATAGAAAAAGACGGAATAAACAAAATTGTGAAAATGATGAATTTTATAGCGTATCGTGCAATTCGCAATGCTTTCCAAGAGGATTTAGAAAAAGCTACCCCTCGTGTGACATTTTTCGTCCAAAATGTTTTTATTCCTGGCTCCCATCCGCATAGCATTAAAATGGTCGAGTAGTAGCCAAAATATCTTCGTCTAAGATTTTTTCGTCTGACGGTCTAACGGGCTACGCATCGTTGGGTATTGTTACATACTACAATGTGCAGTGCAACTTTCTGATAGGCTATTCAATTTATGCCCGTGTGAAGAGATTTGGTGTTATTTACTCAATGTTTCATCCTGTCAATGAACACAATCTATGCTGAAAAGTCAAGGCGTACTGTACAGCTGTTTCATCCTTGTTGATAATCGTTCGCAGTGCGCAACTCACGGAACTCAGAAAATTTTGAACTCGCGACCTTCCGGCCACTTGTTGAGTACTTAACAATGTGGCTACCGGCGGCCAATCAGCAGTTTGAATAGCCCTCGCTCAGGCAGGACCTAGCGTTACCCACCATTCAATAACGGAAACCTCATCATGTGGTCATGTATTGAGTGGCTCCTTAAGTAACGACTTCTCAGAAGGAAGTTTCGCACATTGGGTGAAATTATCCCTCCCCTGAGCAGAAACCACGTATAATAAATATTTTATGCAACGGAATTTGAAATTCTGCAATAAAATATAGCAA